GAAACGTACGACTTATGTAAGAAGATGTAATTTAGGTTATAGAATACATCTCTACTTGAATCTTTAACGCAACGACTTCTGCGTATTGACTCTTAGTGCCTTTATTGTCACCCATTATTATTCTATGTTGAAGAGTCTGATAATTCCTAATATGAAAGATTTAAGTGCTTGAAAATTTGTTACGATGTGTGCGTACGATATTGATGAAGGAGTAAAACTAGTAAACATGAACATATTACTACACACTATCAATCAATATCGCACGCATATACAATACTCACAAATCGTCGATAAAATAGCGACATTTTTGAAGTTTGCTCTCCAATTTAGAGAACGAGAATGCTAAATATACATATATTGGTATATGACATAACTATCTCGTGGACAAAATATTGTGCCTCAATCTTTGAGAACGTTATGTTAGGCATACAAAAAGGAGGAAAAACAAACAGTGCTATGCTACAGTTTTTTGAACGTGTTCTATCAACGAAATAGTTACGCTTCGTAAAAGATAAATAGCAAGGAAGGCAGTGCATACACCCAGTGGACTATATAAATAGTGTGCATATCATATAGATATATAAACTTGCACGAAACGACATATATCTCAATTTCGAAATATTGCGAAAAGCCGAAAAAAGATTATAAAAATCACATTTCGTTCAAAAACCGGATAAATAAAAGTTTATGTTTAAGTAAGAGAGAAATATGCAGATCAAAAAAATATATATGTATATGCATATATATTGCGCACATGATAAAGATAAATTATAAAGATAGACTAGTTTAAGTTTTAATGACTACATGTCGATAGTATTATGGACTCGCTGACAGTCCATTGGTGTATGTAGTGCCGCCTGAAGAAAAACATTAATGATCGTAAATACCTTCGTAGTACAAAAGCAACACTCGAATTCGCTAGGTAATTCGTCAATTTTCTCGAATTTTCTGCTGTCTTTTTTTTCTTCATCCTACAAAAGGTCACACACATATTTTCTGGTTTATTTTTCATGAATAAATATACAGCTTTTGCTTTAAAAACGATCGAATGTTTCACAGCTCTATTCTCTTTCTTTTTAATATTTGTTCTTTTTTTCATGATTCTTTCAATTAAAATTATACTAATGTTAATGCTGATGATACAATTCGATCGATTTAAAAACTAGCAAAACATCAAACTTACTAGCAAAATAAAAACAAGGCAACGTAGAACCAGAATAAGATAAACATTCTCACATTATGAAGTTGAGAATAAGATCTGTCATGATTATAAAAGAGGAAATCGGATATATTTCTCTGTGTGTACTGATCTGTTTATTGAATTATTTGTTTCTACCATTTTGTTAGTTTTTTGAACATATTTCAGAAAATTGTTGAAAATTGAAATTCAACTATCGTGAATACTTCAATTAAAAAATATGTGTATGAACGGGAATCCGAAGTAGACTTATTATTAGAAAAGACGCCAACAGTTCGAACTGTCCCACAAAATATTTAATATGTATTCGAGTAACTCGTTATAAAGTATTGATAATGAAACCCAAACACGGTTTCCAACGTAAGTTCGCGCATAGAAGTCTTGACTTTTAAACGTTGTTAAGCTTTCTTTTCGACAATAATTCGTATCTAGATAATATTATTTTTAAGTTAACTGCAAAAAATTGATAGAAAAACTTAAACTTTGATTATATATATTAAAGAAAAAAATGTTTATAACTTTGCTTCAATGTATTTAAAAACTTGAAAGTGTCTTTTTAAAATGCATTTTTTTTTAATTTTAAATTATGATGCGATTTTGTAAGTTATCTTTGAATAATTTTTAAAAAATCAATGCATTTTCAGTTGTTTTTAATAGACATTCTTAATGTATCGCCGGCATTGATATTACCGGGTGATACCGTATAGGCATATAATAATTAGACATATTGGACACATTCACATTTAAAGCTCCTGCCTAGTCAGCCACGAACTTCGCGTTGACGATGGCGACACTATATCGCGATAGAAATTAGAAACTTGTTTGTCGTACTCGGCCCGTTCTATAATATGTTATATTTCGGTGTTATATGTCGTAAACCGTGATAATTCTACAAAATATGTTGTATGCCGATATCGTAAGCAAATAAAAATTGATCATTCACAGTCGAATGTGAAGAGAATATATACGAATCTGTGAAAAGTGTTGATGACGAATTTTGTCTTACATGCCATTTCGTTATTATGTGCTTAATTGTGAAAATGTGACTTCTCTCGTAGTTATTAAAGTCGTAAAAATGGATGAAAACTAAAATTATTATTAAATTTTATACATAAAAGCATATTTTCCACTTCTTTCAACAGCTTTCAATCGCAAGTTTTCTTGTCTGAATAGGCTTCACTTTATGTGCCTTACGAGTATTTATTGACTGTCAGGGAGGAAAAGGATAGTTTCCATCTATTTTTACAAGTTTT